TGCCAGCCGAACTGTGCCAGGTGCCGGCAACTTGAATCCGAAGTCTTAGAGATGTGACTCAATCAGACCTGTTGCAGTGCCACACTGCCAAGAGCCACGGAAAGACCAGTGGCAAGGCAACAGTGAGGGATGGAAGTTTTCTTGCGAAGAAAGGCCAGAGAGTACGCATTTTATCTGCAAAGCAATTGTCAGAGGCAAGAAGTTGCAGCTTGGAAGCGCAGCCTTCTTTTTCTTCGGCTCGGGGGGTTCTGTCGGACGTGCACCCGTCACACGTGCGCCTTTCCCCCCCCCCCCACCCCCCGTTTTGTTTAGATCCGTTGCCGCCTTTATCATCATTGTCATCATTACCATGACCGTTACCAATACCGTCGTCGTTCACCACCTCAAGGCGGCGGCGGTGTGCAGTAATCGGTGTGGCCATGACATGTCGCGAAGGAGTGCGTGTCAGAGACGACACACTCGTAGCTTCATCCTATTGCGGGACCGGAGGCTTACTGCACAGACGTTCGAGCAGATACTGTCCACAGTTTCAGCCTCAAGTACCTTCCGCTAGTAATTGGCTTTCGTATGTCCATTATGCGATCTGGACTGAAGGCCATCCTGCTCGACATTTCCCCGCTGCGAATGTGTTGGTCCTACTTTGTTCCGGGCAGAAGACGTTTCTAGACCAACGCTAGTCAAAGGCGATGCTTGCGATTTGCCGAGACTTGCAGCGAGATCCGCTCGAGGCGCGATTTCTGTGGTATAGGTTCAGAGCCAGTTGCCAGACAGTTTGTGCGACCTAACAGGCACGACGAAGGCAGCATCACAGAGCCTCTAGTGGCGTTTGAGCTGCAGGCCATTGCATGGGGGCGAGACGTTATTAGTGCTGTCCTTGATGTTGATGTATTTTGCATCCCGTGTGGTCCGTGGTACTTCAACATTAGGGATGTTTTTCGGCAGTGTTGCCTCTTGCATGAGACCATATGAGACCTTTCCGTTGCAGTCTCTGTTCACAGTGGCTTCAATGCAGCACCTTCGATGTGCAAGCCATCCTTCATGGAGTTGCCAGTGGTACGGTGACACACCATGTCCAGCTTACCATGTCTTGCCAGCCTTCCTACCCTGGTTGTCGTGGCTCTGATTGGGACAAGAGGGTCACCGAAGTCTCCGTCTCCGGGGTGTCCCCAGTAATGGCACTCCTGCATACCTCATGTTTAAGGAGAAGCTGAGAGGGCTTAACGGCGAAGTTGTGGCCACCGGAGTGCACTTTCCAGGCCGAGCATCACGTGTTGCGGGCAGGCAGTGTGGCCACAGCGTGAAATGAAGCGCCGCCGCGTCTTCTGAGCGCCTGCTGCGCTGCTCGTGTGTGGCTCCGCAGAATGTGAAAAGGCTCGGTTCGTTTCTCTGTCTGTTGCCAGTGAGTGTTTCGGCTCGTCCATCGATTGTTAGCCTACCAGCCAAATCGAGCGAGCTTTCGGCTGCACGTGGCACATCGCGGCGCCTTGTTTTCTATGTGTTTTTGTTCAGTGTGTTTCTGTTACCGTATGCCGGACCCTCAGACTTCAACCTCGACCTCCACAGAGAGAAAGGAAGCCAGGGAGCAAGGGAGCCCATGTATCAGCCGCCTTACCTGTTGCTCGCAGGACAGTCTCTGCCTCTGAGATGGATTGAAACGGTGTCGATTTGCAGGCCCGTTGGCGGTATAGATTTAGGGTGGACGCAGTGCAGGATTTCGTAAGCAACTGACGGGGGCAAGGAGCCCTGACACACCGCCACTTGGCCAAAGCCCTGCGCGTACTGCGCAGCGACGTCGCCCAGCAGCGACATGCATTATTTTTCTTGGTATTTTCGGTGAGACGAGGCTTTTGACAATGCCGGTCTGTAAAGCCTAAAGCTCAGCATGATGTTTCAGAAGGAAGTCCGATGTATTAAATGTATTTCACTGGGATTCCGAACTCTGATTCAGGCCTCAAGGTTGCTGAAGAGTTGCAGGTTTGATTGGGGTTTCTGTTCAGACGATGTCTCTAGTGCGGATGATCTACGGCGGGAGCGTGTTACGTTGCGACTGAGTTCTGCGCTTGTGCATGTCCGCTGCTCGAATCAGCTTCAGCACATGGCATGTTCATCAACACGGAACCGAAGGTCAACACCACTGCTTGCACAAATGGCTTTACAACATGCAAAAGGATGAGTACCTCTACCAAGTTTCAGCATCACAAGCCATGCGAATGGCAGATGGCAACTTGTAATTTCCAGCAAACATGTACATGGGGCCTGTCATGCTCTACGACCAGACATGATGCAGAGGTACGAAGCTCTTCGGCCGGACTCGGATGCTCGGAGTCTGCGCCGCAGGTGACGAACGCCACCACACGTTATGGACCAGCTTCCGACCGTGGACGAGAGCACTTGCCTTACAGAGGAATCTGCTGAACTGCGTCGTGCCATGGACCTGTGCAAGCAGTTCGACGGAAATGCGCCTGGGCAAGCTGCTTGCGACTGCGGTTGGCACGATCGAAGATTCACTCGACCACCGCCTGCATGGCCTCTGCTCGATTCGGCTCGTGTCGGCTAACTGACAGCTGTGGAGTCCACGTCAGCAGTGGCAAGGATTGCAACCAACAAGTAGTATAATCACAGGATGTCACGGGCAGCCCCAACGACCAACAACCGCTAGGTCCAATCTGCCCCCCAACCCTTTTCAAATCGCATGGCAAGCGATGACATGCATGGGTCCTCGCCGCATCCCGTCAGCGATCTTCCTGGACAATCGGATAGCCAGAAGGCGGACCATGCTTTTTCCTCGAACTCTCTTTGTCTCTGTGACTCGCGCTTTCTCTCTCTCACACTCACTTTCTCTCTCGCTTTCTGTCTCTCTCTCTCTCTCTCTCTCTCTCTCACCCTCACTCCTTTTCTCTCTCTAAGAGGCCACAACAATCCTGAACTCGATGCCAGGCGAGCGTGTGCAAAGCATTTCCCTTCCGCGGCTTCATAGATGGAATCGAGTGCCGCGCCATCAGCATGGAGCAATTGCAGAGGCCGAGCACGCGAGACGCAGCAGTCATGTTACAGGAGGCGTGGTATCGCGTCCGCAGCTTTCCCAGGTTCGTGGTGTTCGCTGCATCCAATTGTAATACCTGGGCGCTGGGCGACCAGCCAAAGCTGTCGACCAGCGTGTTGATGCACGGCCGGAACCATTCTTTTCGACTTTTCGTTAGTTACTTTTCATTGAACCGTTCCCTGCGCCGAGTTCCTGCCGTATGCGGACCTGCAAGGAACTTCTTTCACTTGAACGAATTCCTGCTGTTGCCAGCGACGGAGGACACAACTTATGCATTCGTGGAAAGCTCCGAAGTGCAAGCCTCGTCAGAATCAGCGCTCTGCCGCAACCACTGCACAGCACTAAAGGAGCAGGATTGTTCGGCTGTTGAGTTGGTCAGCGACAAAGAGCAGAGTTCGCTGGTTTTCGTAAGTGTGCAGCTCAGTATTCGGAGGCAGCGCAGCAGAGAAGTTCTGTCTAGCCTCCAAAGCATCTGAGTTTAGGTCACTGGTGGGGTGAGCTGCTTCGCGACTTTACGGACTGCCTGGGATGCTACCGCCGCGCCAAAGAACTCAAAAAGGACCAGACTAAATTTTGGCTGTCATTCCGAAAGGTGATTAGCTAAAGCACATCGCCTTGCTGATCATCACCGGCCTGGCTACCGTCCCCCGATCACAGAATCAGAAGCCTGAACATGCAACCAGTTGCTGAAACCCCATCTGCACTTGAAAGCATTGGGCAGAACTGACACATTCGGCCAAACGATTGGGTATTGCTTCATCGTTGGTGCGTTGGAGGACTCCTTCATGTGGATTTGTGCGTTTGCAGAAAGGCCAGGACACCACTGCGATTTCTGTTTTCTTGACGAGCAGCCTGGAACAAACGTGGTTCGTGGCTGCTCTTCCTGCATCAGGCCCGTCAAGTTAAGTAGTTGCTGCCTCATCATGTCGTGGAGAGGCAGCATTCTCTTCAGCGACGGCTCTCAGTGGATGTGGAATCTGGCAGCTGGGTCTAGACTCAGCCACAGCTTAGAAGAGTCAAAATCGGCTGAAGATGACCTTTACTGTCACCTCACACCAGCAATGATCTGTCGCAATGCCTCGTGTTCATGGTTCGAAGCATGAAGAAGCCGTTTGCTGTTTTTTACTGTTTTAATCGCTCGCTCACTCTCTCTTTGATATCTTTGCCGAGGCTTTATGAGACCTCTCACACGGGCTGATCACATCCTGCTGATGCTCAGCGGAGAGACCGTGTCTTGACTGGATGAGCTGGCATATGCGATACAGGTGCACCAACTTGGCACAAACACCTTTAATTAGTTTTCAGTCTTCTTGCGACTGAGGAACCCTTATGTGGTCTCGGTCAGTTCTTCTCTCGAGCCTGGTGCCTTTTCGAGGCGACCGGGAGGTGAGATCGCAGAAAGGCTTTCCAGCTGCAAGTCCAAGGTGTCCAAGGCGATTGAGCTGAAGAAAGTTATTGACTATGCGGCTATGACGGCAAACGGCCCATCAGTGCTTGTGGAGAGCATCCTTGATCAGGCCTTGTGAGAGAAGTGATCATACGTGATCCTGTCCAGCCGAGCTTCTGAAGGTTGGGCAAATGGAGAAGAAGACTCCGCGATCCCAAGCCAGGAGCACCCGACTGCGGGAGACGACATTTCCCATTGAGGCACTGTGCTCGTTTTGAACTGCAACGACTGAAAGCGCTTGAATCTTGTGTTGCCAGCTTGAAAAGCCAGCCGGAGTTCCATTTGCAGAGTGTGTTCCCGAATGGCAGGTTTTGGCATCTGGACTCCAGCTTGACATCCAGGCAGCCCAAACATCTCGCGAGGCTTCTCCGGGGCGAGGGTGCTGTTTCTTCGTTCTATCTGGTGGACCTGTGCTCGGCGAAGGCCGATCACGAGAGAATCCTGAAGTCCATCGCAGGCAGATTGGGGAAGGATGCAGGCCGCAATAGAGATTGCAAAAAGCTTTTTGTGGTTCCTCCTGAGGCCATCCGCCTGACTATGTCTTGGAGCCGGGTGACACGCGACATTTCCAGGCAAAGGGTGCGGCTTGCTGTAGCGAGACCTTCAAGAGGAGTGTATAAAAACTGCAATCTGCTGTTGAAACTGCGAGAGCACAGGAGGAGTTCCGAAAGTTCAATGCAAGACTGCGGGCGGAGCTGGCCCTGTCGGCTTGGTTTCAGGCGTGGCTTGGTCCGGTAGTTCCGCATCACAGCGACCCGTGAGAGGCCGTCCAGTCGCAGATGGACTCGAAGCCCTTGGCCCGAGCATTGATCGGGGATGAGACTCGCACCTCACTCATGAAGAACTTCGCTCACTGCTCCGGGCAGCTTGGTCAGGAGAGAACCGGGGCCTTTCTAGGATTTTCGAGATTCCTGGTACCAGGTTTGAGGATCGCAACTTGGCGATCCTGGCGGCCTCGCTGCCGAGTCATCTCCGCCATCTGGAACTCTCCTTCTGGTGACTTGGTGGCCTGAGCCATCCTCAGCCTGGCCTCCGGCCAATCCTCTTCCCAAGCGTAACCCTAGGGCCCTACTAGAGCCCCCCACCAGCTAAGCGATCTTCCGCTTCCGACGCTTCTGCCCGCTGGGCTGCTCAGCGTCGGCTCCGAGGATGTGTACAGGGATCGGATCTCCCGGCCTGCGCGCTTTTTCCAAGATCTTGCCGGCTTTGAAACAATTGGAAACGCTCACGCTGGACTTTCAGATGTGCACAAGGATCGGTCAGACAGGCTGGGATAGTGTTGAAGACCGTCGCAGACCTTCTTCAGACCTTGCTGTTGTGGTCCTGCCCGTTTGAAGCAGGTGTCGACGCACTAGGTCTCTGCCTGCCGGCAACCATCGTTTCTTTAATCCTGCAGCCAGGCACAAAGTGTGAATTGGCAGTCCTGTCATGCAAGCAGGAATGCTGGCCTTAGTAAGCCTTAGTACAAGGTTGTCAGCCTCGCTGCCCAAGGAATTTCGAGCGTTCCCACATCCGCAATGTCCAGATTTTGGCCAAAGGAATCGCCAATCTCAAGAATCTCCGTGTCCTTGGCCTCGACTTCGGAGGCCTAAACATCAAGGGAAGTCCGACAGAACAGAGCTGTTCAGGATCGCAAGACTTCGCAAGATGTAACAGGTCCAAGGTCCACGGACTACTGACCTGTGTGAGGTTTTGTGTTGCCAGCATGCTAGCCAGGCATCGACAACGTCGATGACCGGCAAGTGAGTGCGATCTCCGAGTGTCTCCCCGCGCGGCTGATCAACTTGCACCTCTCGCTGAGGCTGGCATCGGAGGTATGCCCCGACCTGAACATGTCAGAGCTAAGAAAGAGGAAGAGTCTGCCTTAGAGGTTGTGGAGGTATGCAGACGAGGGCTGATCACGACAATGCGGAAGACCGGAGCGCGAGTAAGCGAGTAAGCACCAGGTAACATGCGCTGCTGCTTCAGAAATGTGCACACGGACATCATAAAGAGTGCGGGCACGGATGCTCTGGTAATCGAATGTAAGCAATTTAAAGGCAGTAAGCAATTATAGGCCTCTGCGGCGGCACGCATGTGCCACGTCGAGACAGGGCAGGGAGGCTCGCGAAAGAAGTGCCGGGAGGCTTCGGCCACCAGTAAGGCGATAAACGACAAGTTCAGGATTAGTGTATGAATGACATGGGGTTTGGGTGGAGTTATGCGGCATGTCGTTGGATGAGATTCAGTCTGCTTCACGGCAAGTCAGTCTGATTCAGTCTGGCCGACCCTGAGGGGATGTCCTTACTTTACCACTCTGGGAGTTCACTCGCTGGCGGCAGCCTTAGTTTCGGAACCCACTGTGGTGCTGTGACTCTCGGAGCCGTGGCAGAGTGAGCGACGGCGCTTTGGTTTTTTCTCTTGCTTTCGCAAATGCAGAAGCTTAGTTAATTGACAGGGGCCTTCGCAAGCAATTTCGGCAAAAACTTTACGCACAACCAAAAATCTTGTAATCAAATCATCCCTCCCCTGTTGGCGGCCATCTCGAACGGAAGTGAAGGAAGACTGCTCCGGCACCATCAACATGAATCTTTCGGAACTGTTCCCAGCATGCTGAGGCAACACCGAAGGACACTAAATCTTAAAAGTCCTGTCAGGGACAAGCCGAAGTAACCAGATTGTCTCACTGAGCACCAACATGAGCCATCCTGAACCTTTCATTCCACCTTGAACGTCGGCCAAAGACAGAACGCGGTTTGAGGTTGAAACTGTTTCTCAGGTCCTGGGGCTCCCTCCGGAGATGTCCATGCTGTCCTTGAACTTCAGTAGCTGCTCCCGAGCAGCAGAATCTGCTCTCCGCTCCGCATCGCTCCGCGGCACTGCCATCGCACCGCAGCAAAGGCGACCGCATCAACTACGATGCGGTGAAGTGGTTGGCGCACAAGTTACCCCGCATGCTGAAGGTGGGGTGGAGCAGCTTTGAATGGTTGAATGGTTGTGGCCTGGGGCGTCTATACCAGGTCCTCCGCGTGGACCTCTCCGATACGCAGGTCGACGATGCGGCCGCCATGCTTTTGATGCAGCGGCTCCCGTCACCTCTCCAAGGCCCCACCTTCTCCTCGCTTTGAGATGGCCGGTCTTTTGATTCTGCAGGTGCCAAGATCAGCCTTGGAAACACCAGGGTATCTCCTTCCATCCAAAGGCAGGGTGTTCACGTCTTTCGCCTTTGGTGGGCTGGCCATCTCTGTCTGCTGTTTTGCACTTTCCTTTCAAGAGAGTGGCAGGGCCTGTCGCAAGCTCGAGACCATTCGCAGCCTTCTGGTGGATGGGGCACTGCGATCGCAGCCAACGGAGAAGCTGACCATCGCCAGACGTATCCGGCGCAAGAGTTACTTGGTGGCAGCACGGACAGACTTTGCCACGGGCAGTCATTTTGGCCATGAAGCCCAAGCTGCAACGTTTCCGGTAGAGGATGTTGGCAATGCAGTGCCACAGTTTTCGCGAAAGCTAGCTCTGTGGAGCTTGCGGGAGTTGTCGTTTACAATTCACCTAGGTAGTATAGGGAACTAGGTCAACAATGCGTCTAGACCTATCTGGTCATTTCTTAATAGTTAAGGGGGGTAGGGCAGGGGGATGCAGGGGGTGAAGGGGGGGCATTGATTCAGAGCTCGGAGGGGAAAGGGGCCCCCTCCCACCACAAGCCACAAGGTTGCAGCACTATGCAGCATTTTGTACATGGTCAGGCCGGGGGGAGCCCCAACCTCCTTCCCCCTCCACCTTAAGGTTCATCTGATTACGCAACATGGCAACTTGCATTTTGTCTTTGGCGGCGGAGTGTGTCTACGTAGTAGGTTTCAAGTCTGATGCCTCAGCAATGAGCAAGGGTGCCACCAGGACAGTTCTGTTCAAACAGCATGGAAGCTTGCCATTTTGTCTTCACGTGGCCGAGTGTGTCTATGTAGCAAGTTCTGAAGCCTCAGCAGTTACCTAAGCTGCCACCAGGAGAGTTCGAAGCTGCTCTAAATGGCCGAGTTATTGCTTATAATGAAGTCGGTCAAGGTACTACATTACGATAAGGGTGTCTCTGTATGTGGGCCACTGTAAAGCAGAAGAGCGCTATCATCTTGTAGGTAAGAAGGTTCATGGCAAAAAAGATGCGCTTGCACACACGGTGCCCGAGCTCTGTCGCCATTTCTTCTTCTTTTGGCCCTAGCTTTCGTGGCCTCTTCTCAAGTATAATAAACAAGAATGGCAAATTCTGTGGACAGAGCGTGATAGTGAATCAGTAGTGTCCAAACAAGCTAATCTCTGCAACGATCTATAAACCTATTTCTATATCTGTCTAGATCTATGTCAAACTCCATTTCTGTGTTTATCTACGTGCGCGCTACCCATCCATGCGTCCATCCATCCATCCATCCATAGGCTTTACTGCGTACATGCGCAGAGAGCATCATGCGCAATAACCACAGACGAGCTTCATCATATTCCACGTCATGCTGCAAACGACCGGAAGATGGAAGTACTGCCAAGAACTGTGCAACCGAAGAACTCCATGATTCAATGGCTCAGTCCATATATTCGAGGAAAAAAACGAGAAGAAGCTGCTACACACATACTGCTTGGTAGCTGTCGTCGTCGTCGTAGTAGTAGTTGTAGTCGTAGTCGTAGTGGTAGTGGCAGTGGTAATGGTAACGGTAGCGGTAGCCGTAATGGTAGGGTAGTGGTAGTGGTAGTGGTCGTGATTCTTTCAGTGGTACTAGTAGTTGCAATAGTGGTGGTAGTGGTAGTGGTAGTCGTAGAAGAAGAACAAGTAGCAGTAGCGTCGTAGTAGTAGCAGCAGTAGTAGCAGTAGTGTAGTAGTAGTAGTAGTAGTAGTAGTAGTGGCAATAGCAGTGGTGGCGAACTCCACAACCGAAGGGCCAAACCGCCTTAGCAGCTCAGGTCATGCGTGGTGAGATCGCAGATGCAGCAGCTTTGCTCACTCTGCGGCCTCAAGCTCAGCGGCTTCACTTCTTCCTATTTTGGGGGAGATCCAGGTCTTGGGCAATGACGTTATCTCTCGGCTTGAGTCGGCTTTGGGTCTTGTTCAGAACACGCATTTCGTCAAGGCACCAGGCACACACTCCGAGAGCCAGGTGCTCGTTGCTAGTTTTTTTGGGGGGAGGGGTGCTCTTGGGGGGGGGGGTGGCATGAAAACTGCTCCCCCTGATGTTTTGGACTACAGTATGCGTGTTTTGGACTGCAGTATGGCAGCTATGTGGCTATGTGCTTGCATGTGAGCCTTGTGTGGAAATGCTAATTGAGGATATAGCAAGCCTTTTCTTGCACGGCCGCTTAGATGGAAAAAAGGGCTGTTGCGATGTTTGTCACGGCTTGTCACAAGCTTGAAGCTGAAGATCTGTTTGGTGTCCCCTAAACCCGGATCCCTCAACGCGAGCCCCTATAGGCCGTAGGCTCCGAATCCGAAACCCAAGACCCGCCGGGCCGGGGCAAAGCTCTGAAGCTGAAACACCGAAAGCCTGGGTTTTCGGCTTTAGGGTTTAGGGTTTAGGGTGAATCTCAGGCCCTCAAACTCGGGTGCCTTTTCCCAGGCATGAGCAGCAGCAGCCAGAAGCGCAGGAAGAGGAAGAGGAGTGAGGTCGAAGTGTTCGGTGGGTTCTGCTCAGAACTTCGAGGTACACCACGTCTTATTGATGTTTTTGATGCCATGCTTGCTTCATGCCTTTCGTTTTGAAACCAGAATCGATATACATCTGGGCTATGTGGTGAGGGCGAGATCGAGATCTAGCAGACTTTTGAGATATGGGGTCGGGGACCAAGGATGACTCAAACCAGGGCTTGCGGAAAGTCCGGGTGGAGGGGTTAGGATTGCACAGGCGGAACTTTGGGTAAATGCTACTTCAATCGCACTTGCAAAGTTATCATACTCCCCAGTTCGGGAGGCAGAGAACCGTAGCGTCGGTCAGTTTTCCGTTTCACATTGCGACACAAGGTTGCTGAGCCTGCGTGCGGCTGTGAAAACGCCCAGTCCCTGTACATGGAGTGAAGATGTAATTACTGCACAGTCCACCCCCCAAGCCCTTTTCCAACTGTTAGAGCCGATGCCGTTCTAATGGCTTTGGGCATGTTGGATTCGAGCAGCTGTTCTGCAGAAGACTGAAATATAGGCAGACATGTACCTACATGGGATAACTGCCCTCTTCTGGGAATCAATGCCATCCCCACTATACTTAGCAATACCAGGATAGGCAAGGAGAGACAGTGTCGTCATCGTTGTCACTGCAGTTGTTTGTCAAGTTCCCGTCGTTATGAACAGGAATATAGGCTCTAGGATGAGTCTAAACATCGAAGCCCTAGGTTCAATTAAATTATACTCTCCGCATTTGTGATAAGACGTGTGGTCATCTGCATCTTTTATGATTGGCGAGGCGGTCCTGGTTAACTGACTTGTCTTCAGGTTCACTGTCTTCTAGGGGCCGAAGTATTTGATCTTGAGCCGCTTGGCGGACAAATTCGGCTAGAGGGAAAGTGAAAGTGATACACTGGCCACAAGAAAAGCTAGGCTTGGGTTGTTTCGTCTGCTGCTTAGGCTCGAGGCTTATTATGGATGGAGACAGGCCATGGTGGATGGCGACCCAAATGCAAATCGAAACCGAAGACGAGGTTGTCCAAAACCCTGCAGCATTATGGTCATGGGTGTACGTGAGACAGTAGGCTTAGCCCAAACCTCACCCAGCCCCTACCCGCCACCCATCAGCCCACGGTCGTCCCAGGGCTGCATGCCAAACAAAGTGGAGGGCTCTTGGCTGATCTCTCAGTCGAGCCGTGACGCTTACACAAATAGAACAGAAGCCTAGGCTCCATAGATGGCTTAATTAAAGCGCCACGAGATGGCTCCCTACTGCCGACCTTTACGCTGGAGCGAGCCAGCTTGCTTGGACAGGGCGGGCTGCGGGGCACGGTACTGGTGGACGAAGCCCGACAGCTTCCAAGACAGGGACCGCTGCATTTTCGGTAGGGCAGTCCTTTTTCCCTAAACCGGCAGTTTCCTCCGATTTTTCGCTGGACTGCCGAAGAGCCTGCCTGTACTCTGCAACGTCGTCTCTGTAAGGTTTATTCTTATTCTGAATTTCGGAGCACCTCAATCGGTATCAATCGGTAAAAAGGTATCCAAGAAAGGGTTGCAGTTGGGACACCTACTGTAGGTATTGCTGAGAGTTTGGGATGAGCTTCGCATCTTTTGCGCTTTCTGTGCTTGTGGTCATCCGATGCTTTCCGTCCCCTGATAACTCCGATTTGTTATCGGCTTATCGCACCGTATGTATGTGTATATATATATATCTCTCTCTCTCTCTCTCCCTCTCTCTCTCGCTCTCCCTCTCTCTCTCTCTCTCTCTCTCTCTCAAAAGCCTTGTTGTCTTTTCCTAGTCCCCCATACATGACCCCCTTGAGGCCAAGCAGAAACCCAGACTTATGGCCCCTCAACACGGCAACGACAACTCCACCCCGCAAGCAGGATGTATATGGCCACTCCGCCACTGTCGTCGCCGGCCGCGTTTGGGTCCTGGGAGGCAAGAACCAGCCGGGCAAGAGGATCGCTGTGTGCCCCCGCTGCACGTGGGTTCGGAAAGCTAATAGCCCCGTAACCCTTTAGCTTAAACCCCAGAACACTATACTAAGTTAGTGATGACCATTTCTATTTTCTAACCATGCACCCCGCCTAGCACCCCAAACCATAACAACCTATACCTCAACCTTCGACCCATCCAAGACCCATAGGTAGAACCCTAGGAATAACTCACCTGAAGATCCAAAACCATAACAACCTATACCTCAACCCTAACCTCACCAAAAAACCCAACCTAA